CCCCCCCCTCTCTCTTTCTTTCTTTCATTTAGAAAATGTATTGGCTATCCATCTTACCTCAGGGTAACTCTGTTTTAGTGCTTAATCTTATATTCCTACCAGTCATCCGCCCCCAATTTGATAACACCTTTAGATCTGCTATCCCATCTGGCATATCCTTAATCCTCAACCCCCCACAGCTAAGGGCCATGCCTATTAGGACGGTGGGAGTGGCAAAAGACAGAAAAGAAAGCTTAGATTATGTGAAAGACTGAAAGGCTCGATCAAAACCACAGAGTACCAACACATTCATACTGTCTCTACCAAAAACATAATTTAGGACTTTCCTCCTTCCAGTCATCTACAATTATAAGTAAAAAGTTCAACCTGCCCCTGTTTTTGGCTTTAAGTAGATTGTTCAATGGTTAGATTTATAGTACAGATAAGGCCAATAAATACTTGGGGTTTATGGCGTTGGGCGAACCAATCAATTTCAAGCAAAGTTAAGCAAACTACACTTTGACATCTCCCTAGGAAAAAAATATAAGTTACCCCAAGAGCTGTGTATTATTCTGAAACCCCCATAATGCATTTAATTCCTTACATAATTCCTTAATTCCACTTCTAGGAAAGCATTTGTCCAGATACTTACCATAGGTGCTGCTTGGGTCACTGTAGCTAGAAAATAAGAACAGAGTTTAGAAAAGTGGAACAGTTATGTCAGGGATCACTCATAAAAGAGACACTCCTGTCCTGCAGAGAAGCAACAGGTGCCAGGGACAGCAAATAGGGCAAACATAAGATCTTAAGAGGAACTTGTTGGGTCAGGCCAATAGCCTATTTAGTCCAACTTTTTGATTCAAAAAAGCCAAGCTGATGCCTCCAGGAAGCAGGGTTTCACTGGGTCCTTATAGTATGAGAGGCAATTAAGATGGTTCACTTGGAATGGAAGAGGACGATATATCCTGGAATTCACAGTATTACTGACACAAAATACAAACTAGAGTGAGAAATGCAGTTGCGATAAAGAACCAGTTCATGTAGTGTTGCCAACACCTACCTCTCTTCTCCATTCAGATCTTTAAAAGTTGTACAAGGGGGAGAAATTCAATTGATGCAGCCTAGCAAAGGCAGTATCTGCGGACATTCAGTCCAGGATGGAAAGATAAAAGGGCCCAAATTTCTATTGCTGAGAGAAACATGATGTGATTCTCTACACCAGATTTAATAATTATCTTTTGAGCTGGGTCACACCAAAGCTATATTTAAACATATCCCTGAAAATACTCACTGTTGGATGGGTCAGTAACAGGAGCTGCCTGTCAAAGAAAAAGTCAAATCATATCAAAGAGCTTCAACGTATTTTTTTTCTTTTTCTTATCTTTCCTTTAATTCTTTATACTAGTGCTAGCCATGTTCAATCTTTCTCTATTGCACCTTGCTTTATTTATTCATTTTAATCTTAAAGAACTAAAGTAAAGTAAGGTTTTATGTCAATTTGTTGGTTAACTTTATTATGGCCACTCATCAGCATTTTATGCAATTATTACAGAATGTTAGAAAGTACAAATTAAAATGCATAGATGTTTCCTAACATTAACAGAAATAAATGAAACAATTTAGTATAATACCACAGATGCAAACAATTTAGACACCGAATATTAAAACAAATGAATTATTATTTTTTTATTAAAACAAATTAACTAGTTAAGGAATTTAAATGGTAAAACTAAAGAATTAGTTTTTACAGCACTAACAATGATAACATATTTATCAGGCTGCAAGTTGAGGCCTCAAGTAGCTTACAATTAAAAACTCAATAAAAACAAACAAATAGCGAAAATAAATATTTGGGGGAAGTACAACTCCCACCCACCCCAATTTTCACAATCTGTCATGTGTCAAGGGGAATGCAAAATACACTTTGGCCTAGCGCCATTTTGAAAAGCCAAGTTTTCAAAGCTTTTTTAAAGCCCAGCAGGAATGAGGTCAAGCCGGCCTCTGGAAGGATGGTATATTGGAATGAATGCATGAACAAATGAAGGAATGAACAAACAAACGAATGAATCACAAAGAAAGAAGATTCAGTTTATTTTAAAACATGGGATAAATTTTAACAATGGTTAGGAAACAAACTAGTGAGAAATGAATGTGATATGTTACTTTGAATATATATTAATAAGAAGAATGATATGCATTGACCAACTGATACTGTTTATGATTATTGTTTATCATATTCACCACAGCTATTTATTATTATATTAATTAGTATTAACTGAACATATGTACCCGGACGATAATCTATTTGCTAAAGCTTGAAAATGTTATTGGGGGGCAACCCCAATGTTGTTCCCAATCCTGTCCCAACCCCAATCCCAACCCTAAATCCCACCCCGAACCTTAATCCCTATCCTGGTCCTATCCCTTCCCCAACCCTATAAAACTTAATAAAAACCTTTATTAAAAAAAGAAAATGTTAAGTCATTCTCTCTTCAAGTCGTTTGGGGGATTTTGGTGTCCGAGTTTGTAAAACAGAGATGGAATCTTTCATAATTGCCTCCATGATTTAGGGCTTTTGGGTAACGTGGTTCTGCAACAACTGGAGGACCATAATCTTAGTGCATGCCTGTTTCCTACCATGTTCAAGGGATGCAAGAGCCCAATCAGCTTTGCTTACTTCTCTGCACTAAACTCCACACCTTGATCACTTCATCATCCATCAATTGGGTGTGGTCAACCAAGTGGTCAAAGAGCATCATGTTATCAGTTTCCAAATGAAAGAGACAGCCCTGTTATGAAGGCCATTGCAGTACATATGCAAGCTCTTGTGCCACAGCCTATTCTAATTCCCTGAATCACTGTATTTTCTGACACTCACTCCTCCAGAAACAGGAACAGGCCCAGCTGGCACCCCCGGCATGATCATCCCAGGCAGCATCGGTGGTACCATTGTGGGCATCTGGAGCAAAAGAGAAGACCAAGCCATTATACATATTGTAAACTGGAGAAACAAAAGGCAAAGAAAAAACTGAACCAGCACTACCTGACCCAGAGGTGGTGGTCCAGGCATAGGTGGAATCAGAGAGGGAGGTGGCATCATGCTAGGAGGCATAGGCGGCATAGGAGGTGGCCGTGGTCCCATTGGGGGCAATCCCATGGGTGGAAATGGTGGTGGGATCCCAGGAGGAGGCATCTAGGAAGAAGAAAAGAAACTTATACCTGTGCCTAAAGCAGAATATACTCTGGACCAACCACAGACTAAGTCTCAATCCAGCAGTATCACACTTCAAAAAGGAAAGGATGCTGATATGCCAAACATTACATTTTTAAAATCCTATCTCAGTGTGCAACTGTCAGTTTAGGTCAGGGGTAGGCAACCTTGGCTCTTTTATGACTCGTGGACTTCAACTCCCAGAATTCCTGAGCCAGCAGGAATTCTGGGAGTTGAAGTCCACGAGTCATAAAAGAGCCAAGGTTGCCTACCCCTGGTTTAGGTAATGGTCTCAAGCCTACAATTTACCTTTACGAGCTAATCCATAGATTATGGCTGCTTACATTCATGGAATGGACCAGATTGAGATAGGCTGCACCACAGTAATTAATGCCCCAATAAATACACACCTTCTTTACTTTCCTTCCATTTAATGAATTTAGATCACAAATCAGATAAATAATTTCACTGGAAATAAATAATAAAACAATAAAATGAAATCCCATATTGTCATGGGAAGAATGAGCTTTTGTGTAATAATTAAGATCTGGATTTTATTTTTGAAGTAGTCCTCTAATTTCACATTTCACTTTTTTTTAGCTTGGTTATTTCCATTTTATAACAGCACCTAGAAAATATAGAAAATTTTAATTTAGCTGCTTCCATGCATAACAGAAGCGATTTCTGATCCAACTTCAAGTGCAGAAGCCATGAGCTTTGAATTCCCAAAAGTAGAATCCAGTCAAAACAAGCTTTAGGCCTGTTCCCATTTCCCTAGGCATTGCAACCCTAACATACAATAGAGTCTAGACCAGTGGTTCTTAACATTTTTGAACAAATCACCCCCTTGAGCCAATGAGGAAGTTGTCATCACCCCCCTCCCCCAACATAACCTCTCATAGGAAATAATTCTTCAATTTATGCAAACACTTTTTTGTTTTCTTTAAAATTGTCATCAGGACATATCGATGCAAGTAATTTATTTCCAGTCTTTTTCCCATATCTCAACTGTGTGAAAAATTTTGGTGCTACCCATCACTTTATTCCCAAACTTCATGATACATGTATTTCATTATTATCTTATTTATTCAAGACACTTAAATGTAATGACCACTGAAAACAAAATTCAATTGCAAGAAAGTGAAATGCCCAAAAAGAAAAACAGTAACATTTAATGATTGAATTACAAGTGAAATTTAAGACGCAAAAAGAAATATAAAAAGGGCATAAGAACAAACCGCAATGCAGGAACTAAGAATTTCAAGACGAAAACTCTGAAACTAAATTAAGATTTGAGGAAAGTATTTATAGTCACGCACACTGTAAAAAGGATTAAAAAGACACAAAGAAAATATAATATCGAACTGGAGTGCACACTAAAAAAGTACAATACAAAGAGACACACAAAATGTTTTACAAAGCACAACAAAAATTCGAAAACGAAGCCGATGCGTATTCACATATGTACGGCGTTCTGTACTGAAGTTAGCTGGAGGAACATTTGAAAACACAATTCAATCCACTAATAGCGAGCGATCTGATGTTTTTGTACGACAGATATACAGCGATTCATTGTACGAAAAAGTCTTAAAAGTGTCCCCAAAACTTCTCGCTCCATCGCCCCCATATTGCCCCCTTTTTGTTCCTTCATCCCCGCGTTGCCCCTTTTCATTCCATCACCCCCCTGAAAAACGAAATTGCCCCCTGGGGGGGCGATATCGCCCAGGTTAAGAACCACTGGTCTAGACCAAGAACATCTCATATTTCCATAAAAACATTTAGGATACTGTTAAATACAACTTGCATTATGGTGAACTTACAAATGGAGGAGGTAGAATTGGTGGTGGTGGGGGGGCAGAAGGAAAGGGAGCTGGCTGTCCAGGAAGACCACTGCCTGAATCTGGAGTTGACTGCAAGCATAAATACATAATAAAAGTATGAGTGGAGGTGGAAGCGAAGAATAATTAATGAGTTAAGAAGGGCAAAGGCAACTGAGATGTAAAACATTAGATGTTGAGTTTGACTAGAGCAAATTTCCATTTAGCCCTGAAGTTGACTGATGTTTTAAAGATATCCCATTCTTGATGGGAATGATGAGAGTTGTACTTCAGGTGCCTGGAGGGAATCAGGTTGGGGAAACAAAAGCTAATTTCACTTATAATTAAAAAAAAACCCTAATGTTTTAGCAAAACTATATTGAAACACAATGGTACCTCGATACTCATCGTTAATTGGTTCAGGGAGGCACAATGAGTACCAAAATTGATGAGTACCAAACATTTTTTTCCCATAAGAAATAATATTGTAATGAGTCACAAGGCAGCCAACAGTAACAAGTTCTAGCTTGTGCATTGAGTACCAACAAACGAGTACCCGGACAAAATTTTCACAACATTGAGTACCAAATTCGATGACTTTCAAAGCAGTTGACTACCAAGGTACTATTGTATTCCAAATCCTTGAGGAAAACCATAATTTTTCCAAGTCTGCATCCAGGAAATCTATTGACAGGAACTTCAAGAGTCCAATTACGCCAGTTCGGATTTCTAGTGCAGATGGACCAGTACTGTTTGGTAAGAGTTGTAATACCCACTTGTGTCCCTCCAGTATTTATTCCCCAAACACAGAAATTAATAGCAATTCAATTAAGCCAAGGGGAAAAATTAACAGAAAAAAACTCTGTAAATTGCTGTTTTCTAGTACAAAGTATGAATACAAATTGATAAATAAATGCTGGATCAGACCAAAACTTCAACTGGTCTAGCATCCTGCAACTTTCAGTGACTTGACAGAAGGCTTCATACATGGACGTATTTTCTCCCTTGGCTTGGTTTCGGTATCTGGCAATCATCCTGCCTTTTTACTGAAGACTCTTTTAGCTATTATGACTAACAGCCACTAGTATCTTTTTCTCCCTCAATTTGTCTGATGTAATAGTTGGGAACTAGAAAGCCTCCTGCAGTCTATTCCTATCAACCCACACACTGCATTGACTGAGGCTGACAAGAATTATAGCTCAACATTGTCAAGCACCACCAGTACTAATAAAATCATATAAACATTCTCTCTCTCTCTCTCTCTCTCTCTCTCTCTCTCTCTCTCTCTCTCTCTCTCTCTCTCTCTNAGAGAGAGAGAGAGAGAGAGAGAGGGAGGGAGGGAGGGAGGGAGGGAGAGGGAGGGAGGGAGAGAGAATGTTTATATGATTTTATTAGTACTGATTTTATTAGTATTTTATTAGTACTATATATATATATATATATAGAGAGAGAGAGAGAGAGAGAGAGAGAGAGAAAGGGAGAGAGAGAGAGATCATCTCTCTCTATATTTCTATATCTCATAGAAATACATTCTTTGTAATCTAGATTAGGGGAGAATGACTTCATTCTACCATTTTCCTGAACCTAGTGCCCAGTGAGTCATTTCAAGTTCTCATATCTTATTTGACAAACATGCCCTTCAGATATCTCAACTGCAATTCCATATTCCTTAATAAATGCCCTTGGTGGCTAGTCTTAGGGACTCTGCAGTCCAACATCTGGAGGGCCATAGATTTCCCACTTCTGGATCAGGTGACTTCATGAGAAAAGGGATGTCTAGGCCTACCCCATTATCTCTCTCCTTCGGCATTTTGTTCATAAACATGTTTTTTCATAAATTCATTTTACCCTGCCAAGTATTCTAGCCCACTGGTGGCCTTTTTCTACATGTTGTACGCTAATCATATTTTAGAAGTAAACTAGATTAAAAATTATATACTTAGAGAGAAAAAGTGCAAGTAGCAGGAAATCTTCAAAAATGAACAGTTTACTATTTTTAATAAAACAGAAATGGGATAAAATTAAATAAAGGCAATTACATTAATTATTCTATTTAAATAATTTTAAAGTAATTTACATTAAAGTAAATAATATTTCCTGGAACTGCAGTAGTAGTAAAATACCACCTCCTGTATATTTCTCAAAGACCAAGCATAGCTCTTGGCCTTCAAAATTAAGTAACAGGACACACCCAATTTAAACAAAACAAAAAAGCTTATAGACAGATAGTAATAAGATATGGCTATATATATTGGGATGAACAACTATGGTTGCATATTTGGATACAGTACTACGTTTACCATTGATAAGTCAAGGTCCTATATTAGGAAATAGCTGGGGTGGGGTTGCTTGAAATTAAAACCAAGAAAGTTGCTGTATAGATGCTTAAATTCTTGGACCTTCTAGCCAATTTATCATTTTTTCCTGCTTTACTTGGAGAATGAACTTTCTACAGGCAACCAGATGTTTCTCCATTGAACAATCTCATGAACAACCCTCAGAATTCATCTAAGGCCAGACTAGGATGCACATAGGTTTTAAAATATCTTCCATGGTATATTTAACAACACATCAGGGAGAATTTATTTCCATGCATCTTCAACTCCCTCTTATCTTAATACTCTCACCCTCTCCAAAAGCTGTTCTGAAAATTCAGTCCACTGCTTCACATGGCATTTTACACTGTGAGAAGTCTTCTTTAATATATGCATCTATGTTTAAGTAATACATACAGTTCACATAGATACAGCCATGACTCTCTGTACCTACAAATTATTTTATAGTAAACAGACATCCACATACAGTAAGTACACTTTCATATGGCCCTACTTTGATGTACATATTTAAATGCATGCACATGTACAAAAAGCACATTTGCATGGGTTTGCACATCTATGCTTCTTAGTGTCTGCCCATGTTGCATGCAGTCTTGATTGTGTGACCATTACTTAAATGGGTACATTCCCATGCATCTAATTTATTGCTGTGTGCCTCCTCCTGCTGGGCGTTGAGGTGTCTGTGGGCGGTTGAAGATACAAACTGACAAAACACAGTCCATTCAGTAGACTAAGAGATTCCTGCTGGCCTTGCAAAAAGACTGCGTCAACTCAGCCTAGTTTATCCTCACGCTCAAGAGACATTGTCCACTCAGATCCTACTCTTGGG